CCGCCGCGGATGTCAGTCGCCGGGTCACAGCCGGTCCTTAGCGGCTGTTTCCCGGCGATCAGCGGTAAAGAGTGACAGAGAGCACAGCTGCAGTAGCTGTGCTGTCTGTCACTTCCTTGTCAGCTCGAGGATGAGCTGATTGAGACAGAAGAGTTTCTCTCTCTCGATCAGCAGTGTCCTGTGCAGCACACACCCCCGACCCCTAGTAAAACACTCCCCCTCACTCAGATAACCCTTCCCTGCACAATAAAGTTAACCTCTTCCTCCCCAGTGCCATTAGTACAGTGTCAGTGTTATTCTTTTTGCACTGATCACTGTATTAGTGTTTTTTGGGGATGTCAGTGACCCCAAGTCAGTACCCCCCAATGTCAGAATGTCCGCCGCAGTCCCGCCATAAGTCGCTGGTCGCTGCCATAAGTCACTGATCGCCGCCAGAATTCACTGATCGCCGCCATTATTAGTATAAAAAAAAAACTAAAAATCCCAGTATCTTTCCCGCCATTTGTAAATGCTATAACTTTCACGTAAACCAATTCATTTACACGTATTGGGTTTTTTTTTTTTTTTTTTAGCAAAGACATGTCGCAGAATGCATTTTGGCAGAAATTTATGACTAAATTTGATTTTTGCATTTTTTTTTTTACTGGACATGTTTTATAGCAAAAAGTCCAAAATATTGTTTTTTTCCTCAAAATTGTCAGCCTTTTTTTTTTATAGCGCAAAAAATAAAAACCGCACAGGCGATCAAATACCACCAAAAGAAAGCTCAATTTGTGGGGGAAAAAAGGATGTAAATTTTATTTATGTACCGTTTTCCATGACCGCGCAATTGTCCGTTAAACTAGCGCAGCGCTGTATAGCAGAAAAATGGCGTAAGTTGCAGTATCTATACCATAGTTTGTAGACGCTATAACTTCCACACAAAGCAATCAATATACACTTATTGGGATTTTTTTTTTACCAAAAACATGGAGCAGAATACATTTTGGCCTAAATTTATAACCAACTTTGAGTTTACTATATATTTTTTATAGCTGAAAGTAAAAAATATTGTGTTTCTTCAAAATTTTTGGCCTTTTTTTGTTTATAGCGTGAAAAATAAAAAGCGCACAGATGATCAAATACCACCGAAAGAAAGCTCTATTTGTGTGAAAAAAAGGGCGTAAATTTCGTTTGGGTGCAGCATTGCATGACCGCGCAATTATCAGTTGAATTAGTGCAGCGCCGAGTAGCAAAAAGAGGCGTGGTCATTAAGGGGGGTAAATCCTCTGGAGGTCAAGTGGTTAAAAAAAAATTTACTGATTTCTTTTTAACCAGAAGACAGAGTGGCATCCTGTCACCGAAACCTTCTAAACACATTACAGTCATAATTGTCCAAAACTTCCTGTACTTTCTTCCTCTTCATTTCTAATTGATCATTTATTTGTTTCAGTTTTAGATTGGATTAAAAGAAAATAAATCCCCATGCTAAAGGAAAAAAATCATTTTGCATTTAAATACAAAAAGATGCAAATTTTACAATGTAATTGAATAAAACATGACACTTTTTCGCTTGACAACACGTCCCCCACGTCTCCATAATAAAAACAGTAAAAGGGTTTATTGGTTTCTTTAATTAAAGTTTTATTATATGGTTTTATTTTATGGTTTCTGTTTTCATATATATTACGTGACCCAGCATTTTAATAACTGCCATTGCGAGCTAAAGGTTCTTATGATTCCTAATTTTTGATATGGCAATTTACAGAACAAGGTTACAGTAACAAGGATATAGGATTGCGAAGTTCCGTAGACTTGTACCACCTATGCTGATGCTTAATAAAACTTTTTCTTGACATAAAAACAAAAAACTATTTATGTCACACAAAAAAAGATTTATGTTATGCAGTGCTTTTTTTTTCTCAGAGAATAGGTACAGGCATTCTCCCCTTCCAAGTCACCCCTTGTCTCCACCCCTCTACCCACCCCTGAGCACCATGCCTTAGTTCAGGGGTGGGCAAACTGCGGCTCTCCAGCTGTTGTGAAACTACATTTCCCATGAGGCATTGCAAAGACCGGAGGTTACAAGCATGACTCCTATGACTTGCAGAGGCATGATGGTAACAGCTGTAGAGCCGCAGTTTGCCCACCCCTGCCTTAGTTCTACCCCCTAACCACCCCAGTACCGCCCCTTTTTGAGAATACAGAGACAAGTATCATTTGTTGTAGCTATGAAATTTATATGCAATTTTCTAATGATAACAAGAAAAGGAAGAAAACAGATCCCCCGCAGGCAGCAACAAAAGACCCCCCCCCAGCAATTACAGACTCCCCCAGCAACAATAGACCCCCTAGGCACAGTTTACCCCCCCAATAAAATTCCCCTAACAATAGATCTACCTCAGCACCAACAGACTCTCACCAACAAAAGTAGACCATCCCAGCAACGTCAGATCCCCAACCGCAAAAATATTATTATTATTATTATTATACAGTATTTATATAGCGCCAAGGGGTATGCTCAGCGCTGTACAGTAGCGAGGGGGACAGAACATGAGACAAGACAGTAACAATACAATACACGAGGGGTTCGAGGGCCCTGCTCTTTCGAGCTTACAATCTAGGAGGGAGGGGAAGGTGGCACAGGAGGAGATGGCTGTGGGGGATGGAGTGGTGGGTGGAGTGAAGGAGGTTAGTTGTTAGGTGAGGTCGGGTGTTAGGTGAGGTTGGGGTAGGCTTCACTAAAGAGGTGGGTTTTCAGGGTGCGCCTGAAGGTGAGAGGGTAGGTGACAGTCTGATGGATTGGGGTAGGGCGTTCCAGAGGATGGGGGAAGTCCTAGAGAAGTCCTGCAATCGGGCGTGGGAGGAGGAGACCAGGGAGCTAGAGAGCAGGAGGTCCTGTGAGGAGCAGAGGGCACGGGTAGGGTAGTATCTGGGTATCAGACCCCCTTGCAACAATAAATCCCCCCAGTATCCATAGATCCCATAGCATCCAGTAACAATAGACCTCTAGCACACCCCAGCCCCCTTCAGTGCTGGAGGTACTGGAACTGCGTTCCCCCACTGAAAAAAAGCCCTGATGTTATGTCACCCAAAAACTAATAATTTATTCAGCTTTGGGCTGTTATAAACTACGATTTGCACTAGAATTTTAAGCCTCGGCGTAGAATTGTCTGCAAATCGAAGTCTAATGATACATATTTCCTGTGATCCTGGCTGATGCACGTGTTAGTCCGGCGCGTCTCAGTCTAGAGATGGGAAGTTGTAAATCAGAGGGATGGACCAGTCAGGATTTGGAACGCCAGGGAGATGTGAAATATGCTAATCTGATATATAAGATATAATATGACTGTACCCCCCCCCCAGTCTGGTCACATTCCTTCGTGGGTCAATTCATACGCTCTATAACAAGTCAGTACGGAACATTACAAGGAAACAGCAGCAATTAATGTAGAGCAGAACAAGATCGCATTGGGTTGCGTTCAGTAGTGGTACTGTCCGACGAATGCAGCATGGGGTGGGGTTTCCTCTTGCAGTACAAAACATGTAGAAGACCTCTGTTCAGGCTTAAGGGGTGGGTAGTCAGGGGTGGAAAATCCACAGCTCAGCTACCTATTTTTAAAACCCCCCACCCCCCCACACACACACACACCACTACTTGTCCGTGTGAGCAAGCCCTTAATATGTTAGTAAGCCAGCAGAAACACCAACATTTTCTCCCTTTCACTCATCTCTGGATAATGCAGAGTATCTGCAGGAAGCAATACAGTGGTTGCAAACTTCTAAAATGAAAAGTGAACAAAGCATATCCCTCCAAAGTGTGTATTTGCCCAGAAACAAAGCACCAAAGTGTCATTCCTGTCTGCTTTCTCATTCATCTGCTATCTGCATCAGTCACTTCCGACAAGTCTATGCCAGCACCACAGAATCCTTGGAGATGGCCCAGCTCCCCCCTTCAGCACACAGCAGGTGACTGATCGCCTCAGCTTTGCATGTTTCCCTATGAAACTGTCTGTGAATAGTCAACGTACTTTTTATGTTCTGCCTGTCACGGTCAGAGGTCAGGCTTGAAGACCAGTATGCATAACAGTAAGGAGTCTCCCACCGACCAGCTGGATACGTGAACAAGCAGGTCACCCTGGTGGGTGATGTTCCTCCTGTCACAGTCAGGCCTGAAGACCAATAGGTATAACAGTAGGGAGTCTCCCACCGACCAGTTGGATACGTGAACAAGCAGGTCACCCTAGTGGGTGATGTTCCTCCTGTCACAGTCAGGCTTGAAGACCAGTAGGTATAACAGTAGGGAGTCTCCCATTGACCAGTTGGATACGTGAACAAGCAGGTCACCCTGGTGGGTGATGTTCCTCCTGTCACAGTCAGGCTTGAAGACCAGTAGGCATAACAGTAGGGAGTCTCCCACCGACCAGTTGGATACATGAACAAGCAGTTCACCCTGGTGGGTGATGCGGGCTCACCCAAGGTTCAAAGCCTAAGCAATAAATTGGTGTTTACCATCAAGATGGATTCTGCTGTGTTAAAGTCCCAAGTCGTGGTCCACAGGATCACCCCACCAGGAGGTGAGCAAGCCAGGGTCCAGAAGCAGATAGAGCAGGTAGGGCTCAAGCAGAAGCACAGTCGACAAGTCAAAGGTTGGCATCAAGTGGTAGCAAAGATACTGACGACAGCAAGATATTGGCTGGAAACAGCACATTAATCTAGCAAACAGGAAGTGCAGAGACATGGCTTAAATCGGGAAGTTCATGGGAGGAGCAAATCAAAGCCAAGTTGTCTAAGCAATCAGGCAGGGAGCTGTCCAGCATCTCAGGTGGCTTCAACTAGAAGAGTTTCTGCCAGACACATCCCTTGTACTGACAGTTGAAAAGGTTTGAACATCAGTTGCTGTGTGTGGCCATTCTCCTAGCTTGTCATAACTGAACAGGTCCAAGTCAGGTAAGACATAACGCCTGCTTCAAAGTAGATGCTTTATGGAAGCGGTAGTGATTTAGTAGAGTAAGGGTTCACAACCACTTTAACCACTTCCCGTCCGGCCCATGTATATAAACGGCCAGACGGGAGCAGTGCAGGGGCGGGTGGCCATTTATAAATGTCCTCCCTGCTTGTGCGCACTCCCACCGCGATCCGGTGCCCGTTGTGTCCTCACAGTGGAACACCGATCGTTGTACGGGACCTCTGTGTGAGGCCCAGATCATGTGATCACTGATTGGCCAATCAGTGATCACATGCAGAGTAGTAAGCAAGATGTCACTTTCAGACATCATTGCTTACTACGTGTGAAATCTGTGAATGATCACAGAGGTCACATGGTACAAGGCTATTCACAACAGCCTTGTAACATGTGACAAGCTGTGACCAATCACAGCTCACACAGTACTTCTCAATGGCTGCAAGAGAACAGCCAGAGAGGAGGAGAAATGATTGCTTTTACAGCCTTTATGGGTGTAAAAGCAATCAGTTTAAAAAAAAAAAAAATCTTCATCACCCCCACAAGTAGTACAGTGTTAGCATAGTGACACTGTACTGCTAGGGTGACAGTATGTAAAAAAAAAAAAAAAATAAATAAATAAATAATATAAAAAAATAAAAAAAACATTTTGAAAAATTATAGTTTTTGGTTATAAACTAATGTGGGTGCTTTTTTTTACTAAAAAGATAACTAAATACATTTTGGCCAAGATTTATGAAGAAAGATCATTTGCAAACGTTTGTAAGAAAAACACTTTTTTTTCAAAATGTTTGGACTTTTTCATTTATATAGCAAAACAAATAAAAATCCCAGTGGTGAATAAATACCACCAAAATAAAGTTTTATCTGTCTCAAATAAATGTTAAAAAATTCATATGGGTACAGTGTTGCATGACCGCGCAATTGTCATTCAAAGTGTGATAGCGCTGAAAGGTGAAAATTGACCTGGACAGGAAGGGGGGGAAAGTGTCCGGACAGGAAGGGGGGTGAAAGTGTCCGGACTGGAAGGGGGTGAAAGTGTCCGGACTGGAAGGGGGTGAAAGTGTCCGGACTGGAAGGGGTGTGAAAGTGTCCGGACTGGAAGGGGGTGAAAGTGTCCGGACTGGAAGGGGGTGACAGTGTCCGGACTGGAAGGGGGTGACAGTGTCCGGACTGGAAGGGGGTGACAGTGTCCGGACTGGAAGGGGGTGACAGTGTCCGGACTGGAAGGGGGTGACAGTGTCCGGACTGGAAGGGGGTGACAGTGTCCGGACTGGAAGGGGGTGACAGTGTCCGGACTGGAAGGGGGGGAAAGTGTCCGGACTAGAAGGGGGTGAAAGTGTCCGGACTGGAAGTGGTTAAGGTGGAATTTCCCTTTAAAACCAGAAATATTGAGATTTTTCAATGAAAAGAAGTCTCTGAAAAATGAGCCTCAAAACATCAGCTGTGCTCAAATGTTTGCATCCCCTGGCAGAAATGGTGAAATACCCCCCCCCCCCCCTTTTTTTTTCGATTTACCTGTAACCCTGTTTGGATTGTGGTTACTTATGCCTTTTATACCATCACTTTGTGAGTATATTTCCTTATTAATAAAATTAGTCACTATTTATTGAGGTAATGCGCAAGGTTTGTGCGCTCTCTTTCATCTTCCTTTACAGAAATGGTGAGATGATGGCACTGATAATGAAAATATGTCTGATGATCATGCCAAAAAATGTCTTTTATTTAAGGATAGTGATCATATGGAGCCGTTTATTATCACATAGTTGTTTGGCTCCATTTTAAAATCATAATTATTATTATACAGGATTTATATAGCGGCAACAGTTTGCGCAGCGCTGTACAATATAACGGGAGACAATACAGTTACAATACAATTTGGTACAAGAGGAAACAGAGGGCCCTGATCCTGGGAGCTTACAATCTAGGAGATGACAGAAATCACCCAAATGGCCCGGATCAAAAGTTTCCATCCCCGGGAGTGTCTGGCCTTGTTACAGCCACACAAGGTGATACAAATAGGGTAAAATGGCAATCAAAGGTTAATTTCCCACATCTGTGGCTTTTTAAATTGCAATTGCACCCCGGTCACATCAAGCCCGACTTTGAAATCGTGCGACTTACAGTGAAGTGGCACGATTTCAAAGTGGAGGGGACATGCCGTTTTCAGGTGCGATTTGCAAGACATCTGACACAGATGTCTATGCAAATGGTACCAAAGGTAGCGGATGTACTAGAAATCTGTGCGGCTCCGACGAATTCGGAACCACACCGATATGACCGGTGTAATTGCGGACAATAGGGTGCGACTTGGCATACGATTTACAAGTCGCATGGCACGCAGATCGCATGCCAAGTCGCACCCAGTGCGACCGGGGTGTAAGTGTCTGTGTATAAATAGTCAATGAGTATGTTAGCTCTCACGTGGATGCACTGAGCAGGCTAGATACTGAGCCATGGGGAGCAGAAAAGAACTGTCAAAAGACCTGCGTCACAAGGTAAGGTAACTTTAGAAAGATGGAAAAGAATATAAGAAGTTATCCAGAGCCAGTCAGTACTGTTCAATCACTTCTTAAGTGGAAAATATGGGGATCTCGATACCAAGCCCAAGGTCAAGTAGACCAAGAAAGATTGCAGTCACAACTGCCAGAAGAACTGTTTGGGATACATAAAAAACCCCACAGGTAACCTCAGGAGAAATACAGGCTGCTCTGGAAAAAGACGTGATGGTTTCAAGGCGCATAATACAACAATACATGATCTGCCGGTCAAGTTGCCAGAAAGAAGCTTTTACTGCGCCAATGCCGGTTACTATATGCCCAACAACACCTTGACACGCCTCACAGCTTCTGGCACACTGTAATCTGAAGTGATGAGATCAAAACAGAGCTTTATGGTCACAATCATAAGCACTATGTTTGGAGACGGGTCAACAAGGTTTTAGAGACAAGACTACCATCCCCACTGTGTGGCTCACTGATGTATTGGGGGTGTGTGAGCTCTAAAGGCATGGGAAATATTATGAAAATGGATGACAAGTTGATCAGAAAATACTGGCAGACAATTTGCATTCTTCTGCACGAAAGCTGCGCATGGGACTCTCTTGGACTTTCCAGCAGGACAATGACCCTAAGCACAAGGCCAAGTTGACCCTCCAGTAGTTACAGCAGAAAACGGTTCTGGAGTGGCCATCATAGTCTCCTGACCTTGATATCATCGAGACGCTCTGAGGAGATCTCAAACATGCAGTTCATGCAAGACGACCAAAGACTTTACATGATCTGGAGGCATTTAGCCAAGATAAATGGGCAGCTCTACCACCTGCAAGAATTTGGGGCCTCATAGACAACTATTACAAAAGACGGCCCAAAGTAATTGATGCTAAAGGGGGCGCTACACAGGATCAAGAACGAAAAGGATGCAGACTTTTGAACAGGGGACATTGGTTTACTTGTTGCCATGTTTTGTTTTATGATTGGGCCATTCTGTTATGGCCATCAGCAGGGGTCTCCAAACTTTCTAAACAAAGGGCCAGTTTACTGTCCTTCAGACTTTACAAGGGCCAGACTGCGGCCAGTGGGAGTAGAAAAGGTCCTGACAAGACTATACAAGGGCCGGACTGCGTCCAGTGGGAATAGAAAAGGTCCCGACAAGACTATACAAGGGCCGGACTGCGTCCAGTGGGAGTAGAAAAGGTCCCGACAAGACTTTACAAGGGCCAGACTGAAGCCAGTGGGAGTAGAAAAGGTCCCGACAAGACTTTACAAGGGCCGGACTGCGGCCAGTGGGAGTAGAAAAGGTCCCGACAAGACTATACAAGGGCCGGACTGAAGCCAGTGGGAGTAGAAAAGGTCCCAACAAGACTATACAAGGGCCGGACTGCGGCCAGTGGGAGTAGAAAAGGTCCCGACAAGACTATACAAGAGCCGGACTGCGGCCAGTGGGAGTAGAAATGGCCCCGACAAGACTTTACAAGGGCCGGACTGCGGCCAATGGGAGTAGAAATGGTCCCGACAAGACTTTACAAGGGCCGGACTGAAGCCAGTGGGAGTAGAATAGGTCCCGATAAGACTTTACAAGGGCCGGACTGCGGCCAGTGGGAGTAGAAAAGGTCCCGACAAGACTATACAAGGGCCGGACTGCGGCCAGTGGGAATAGAAAAGGTCCCGACAAGACTATACAAGGGCCGGACTGCGGCCAGTGGGAATAGAAAAGGTCCCGACAAGACTATACAAGGGCCAGACTTTAGCCAGTGAGAGTAGAAAAGGTCCCGACAAGACTTTACAAGGGCCGGACTGCGGCCAGTGGGAGTAGAAACGGTCCCAACATGAATTTACAAGGGCCGGACTGCGGCCAGTGGGAGTAGAAAAGGTCCCGACAAGACTTTACAAGGGCCGGACTGAAGCCAGTGGGAGTACAAAAGGTCCCGACATCAGTGGGAAAAAAATAATACCCCTGTGTTTGGTGTCAGTGAGAGGAATTCTGCCCCCTCATTCATGTCATTGGACCCTGTCATGGTGTAGCTATAGCAGTAGACCAACCAACAGGATAGGTAAACAAGCAGGTCACCCTGGGAAATGACGCAGGCTCACCTGAGGTGCGGGGTCTAAGCACTAACCAGTATTCACCAGAGCTCCTGATGGTGGAGATGGATTTTTCTGCCTGTTAGTACCAGGTCGAAGTTCTCAGGATCACCCCACCAGGAGGTGAGCAAGTCAGGATCCAGTAGCAGATATGGCAGGTAGGGATCTAGCAGAAGTGTAGTCAGTAAACAAGCCAAGGGTCGGTAACAAGCGGTAGCAGGTTGGGATGAGGCAGAATCGTAGTCAAGGAACAAGCCAAAGGTCGGTAGCGAAGGTATGGACGGCAGCACGAGAGACAAAGCGAGATACTGGCTGGAGAAGGCACAATAATCTGGCCACCAGGAAGAAAAGAGAAATGGCTTAAATCGGGAAGTTCATGGGAGGAGCAAGGGGTTCAAGGTTCGTCAGAAAACAAAGCACAAGGCAGGATTGTCCAATAGATCAGGCAGAGTGTTGTCCAGCATCCCAGGTAGCTCAGTGAGAAGAGTTACTGCCTGACACAGTAGAGGTTCCAGGTTCTGACACTATCATTTGTGTCATTGGGAGGAATTGTGCCTCATCATTGGTGTCATTGGGAGGAATTGTGCCTCATCATTGGTGTCATTGGGAGGAATTGTGCCTCATCATTGGTGTCATTAAAGGAGTTGTGCCCCCTTCATTGGTGTAAGAGGGGGGAATTATACCCATTTAGTATCAGTGGATAAAATAGTGTCTCAAGGGCCAGATAAAAAAGCAAGCGAGGGCCCCCCGCAGTTTGGAGACCACACTGACCTACAGTTACAGAATAGGAAATAAGAGAAATGGGTTTTGCCGGCTCACTCGTGTTTTCTTTCAAAAAA